AAGCCCCGGGGCCCGGATGTTGTCCCAGCCATAACATTAGACTCTGTGAGGCTGACCCACATGGGAATGTCCTGGGTTCACACGCAGAGACCTTTCTGTAGATGCATGGCGTGTCATGCCTATGACCCAGAGCTGGCTGAAACTGATGGTGAAGACCCTGTTGGGGATGACTGTCTCTCCATTTCTGTCTCTCTTTCTCTCTGTCTCTCACTCATGAAAAAAAGGTTAATTTCTTTAAAATTTTAAATAAGATATATTTCTTTTTGAGTGCCTAATACAAAAAAAGTTAATTGGTAAAGTGGGTAAATAACTTTATCTTTACAGGCTTCAGTTATCACAATTATAAAATAGAATGAAAAATATTCTCCTCACGTGGCTATTAGTAAGATTAAGTAGGATAATACTTGCCGATTGCTTAGCTCGGTACCTGACACATATTTCACACTCAATGAGCACATATTTGGTGTTACCTTTGGGGTATATATTAAAAGTAAAATGCACGGTTATTTACTCAAGAAAATATAAACTAAACTTCTATCTTTAAATTTAGTTTAAATAATGTTGGAGTTTATTATTGAATTCAACATCAGTTCATCAAGTTATTTGAACTAGAGTGTTGAATACCAGAAGAGGATAACAGGCTTTCTTCTAGGCCAACTTACATGGATGATTAAGGCAGAAAGAAATAAAAATGCATGTAGCACCTCTCCATGCCCTGAACATTGCTGCATGCCTTATTTACACTATTTTGCTCATTTCTTAGGAATCACAATTAAGGAAATATTCTCCTTAATTACCCTTCAATTTCTTGAAATATTTCCTTTTTATTTTTTATATTTAATCATTGTACATTTTTTTGGAGGATTTTTTGCTATAGAGGGAGTGAGCTTGCCAGAAAAACAGAAAGAGATAGAAAGTGAGAAATCACCCCTCTGGGGGGGATGGCCATGCCACAATCCTTTCTCCTCCATTCTCCTCTTGGGATCCTAGGCACACACACACACGCCCAGCATGAGTTTAAGCCACCAGGTCTAGGCCTTGAACCATGATCGACTACATGGGAGTCTAGCAACATAGCCATTACACCATCTGCTGGTCTCATCATTGTACATCTTAACAACATACAAAATGGTTTGTCAAAGCATACATGCTTTGCATGTAAATCAAGTCAAAATATTACCATAGACATCATCTTCAACAGACAACTTTCCATTGTTGTGTCTGTTAAATGTTTTTTTCTGGTCCTCTTCTTTCTCCCTACCATTATCCACCTCCTCCTATACAGTCTGTTAACCACAACTGCTGTTCCTGTTTATCTTCCCATCTTTTAGTATCTGCCATAAAATGTACAGACATTAATATTGAGCAGGGGCATACAATGTCTGGCTTTTATACTCTGGCTTTCTTTGTTTAGCATTAAATCCTCTGTATTTATCCACTTTGTGTCAAATGTCAGGATCTTATTGGTTTTTATGGCTGAGTAATATTCTATAGTGTATATGTGCTGCATTTTTTCGATCCACTCTTCTGTTCTTGGGCATTTATGTTGATTCCATGTCTTAGCAATTGTCAGTAATGCAGCAATAAACATGGCCAGAATGTCTGTCCAAGTGAGGGCTTGCTTAAGTTTGGGTAAATACCCAGGAGTGGTATTACTGGGCCATATGGGAGTTCTAGTTGTGGGTTTTTGAGGAACTTCCATACTGTTGTCCTCAGTAGTTGCACTAATTTACATTCCCATGAACAGTGTATGAGGTTTCCCTTTTCACCACAGCCTCACCAACACTTGTTCTTTATTTTTCTGATCATTGCCATTCTGACAGATTAAGTGATGTCTCATTGTGACTTTAATTTGCATTTCCCTTCTCATAAGAGATGTTGATTATTTTTTTCATATGCTTTTTGGCCATTTGTTTTCCTTGGAGAGTTGTCTGTTCTGCTAACTTGCCCAGTTTTTAATTGGATTATTTGTTTTCTGTGCAGGTCAGCAGTTTGAATTCCCTATGTATTCTGGTTATCAGTTCATCTGAAACATGGTTTGCAAATATTTTCTGTCATTCTAAAGATTGTCTCTTTAGTCTGTTTCTTTTGCTGTGCAGAAGCTTTATAGCCTGTTGTAGTCCCACTTGTCTACTTTGGGGATCACTGCTATGCTATGGAGATGTTATTTAACAAATCTTTGCCTACTCCAATGTCTCCAAGAATTTCCCTTGTGTGTTCCACCAGTAGTTTTATAGTTCGAGGTTTTATCTTTAGATCTTTGATACATTTGGAGAATTTTTGTTGTTTTGTTGCTGTTAATGGTGAGAGAGAGGGTCTACTGTCATTTATCTGCAGGTGAATATACAGTTTTTCCAGCACCTTCTAGTGAAAAGACTTTCCTTTCCCACTGGATTGTCTTGTGTCCTTTGTCAAAGATCAGTTGGCAGTCTGAGTTGAGGTTTATCTCTGGGCTTTCTATTTTGTTCTTTGGTCTACATATCTGTTGTTGTACCAGTATCATGCTATTTTGATTATCACGACTTTATAATATATTTTGAGGTCAGGCAGTAAGATGCTGCCAACTTTATTTTTTACACAGTATTGTTTATGCAATGTGGGGCCTTTTATCATTCCAGATAGATTTTATGGGTTTTTTTTTTCAATTTCTATAAAGAATGTCTCTGGTAATTTGACAGGAATTGCATTAAATATGTGAATTAATTTGGGTTTAATTAACATTTTGATAATATTAATTCTTCCAATCCAGAAACATAGACTATGGTTCCACTTTTTTGTATCATACTCAATTTTGGTTTTCAGTTTTTCATAGTTTTACTCCTAGAGGTCTTTCCCCTCTTTGCTTAGATTTATTCCTAGGTATTTTGTGTGTGTTTGTAAATAGGATTTCTCTCTTCAATTCTATATCAGTTTGTTCATTTTAGTGCACAAAAACACTACAGACTTTTGTATATTGACTTTGTATCCTGCCACTTAGAAATACTTCAAAGATTTAAGTATTGTTGCCCTTCAAATCAGTTGAGGAATAAACTACAAAGTGCCCAAGATCACTTGACTAATAATACAGAAAAAATAAGTAGGCATTTCTCTTTCTAGTCCTGGATTCTGTCCACAGCACCTGAGGGATTCAGCCCCTGTGTTCTAGGTGGTCTTAGGAAGCCATTGCAACATCAAATCATAAGATAATTAATTTCTGGCTACGAAGACCAATCAGTAAATCCCACCTTTATCTGGGTTGCCATTCAGCAGTCTGTTTTAATGTGTTCTGGTAATTGTGAAGCACTCCTTAAGGACACTGTGTGCCTTTAAGGACATGCTAAAGCCCTCAGCCTCCAAGGGCTTCATTTATTGCACTACAACTCTAGAAGAGGAAGTCCTGCCTGCCCTCAGGTCAGACCTCCCAGGTCTGTGGCTGCATTTCACAGGAAACCAAACCTAAACCGGACCTGTGAGGAGGTTTCTGCTGAAGGACACTGTTTGACATCAAAAACAATTCAACCCACTGTGTTTCGGATTACCAGCTCCTCAAGTTCTTGGCAATGCCTCCGTGAGCCCCGGTGGGAGACGGACATCGCATCCCTGAGTCGTGGTGCTCCCCATGCTGTTCAGGTAAACCAAGTAGGTCACCTCCTTTGGCGTGAGCACCTCACGGCCCCCTCGCTGTCAGAAATGGTCATTAGGAAAGAACTGCGTACCGAGCAAGATTTTTCTGACATGAAATTCTGGGCCTTTTTTAAGGCATCAAACTAGCAAAAAGAATGCCAGCTCTCTTAACTTAATTTTTAAAGATCCCTTCATTCTGCTGGGGGAAAGAATCAAGATACCTACCCATAAAAAATTAAAAGACTGTTTTCAATCTTCTCTTCCTGGAGCTTAGACTCCCTGACTGCTCCTAAAATCTAAAGACCAAGCCCATTGTGGCTTTCTTGGCTGACCTTCATTAGGCCAGCCCCCTGGATAAGCAGTTCATTCCAACTAGGTCATCACAGTAGAAGTTAACTCCAGGCGCACCTCAGAAATGTATGTATTTTTAATTTTCTAAATTATACCCTTTTCTTTCTGCCTTGGTGCCAAGGGATAATATGCAGAGTCATGCAGTGGCCTACGACAGAGGCGAGGAGCCCGAGTGAGATTAAGGTTGGGGTAAAACGTTTATCCTCAAAGGATGTGAGGAACCATCATCTTTAAATTTTTCAAAGAACAGCTAACAAACTCGAGTGGTCTCTAAAAGAAAGTGTCATCCAAGTATAGGTACTTTGATTTTAAAAGATATTGATGGGACTGAGTTTTATCCATGCCGGTTGAATTGTTTTGGCACCAGTGTTACTTATGTGCTTGTCTTTGTCCATAACGCATCGTTCTAAATGATACCACTCTTTGGAATTTCCAGGGGCCCCTCAAAACACAGGAAATAGCCTGTTCAGAGATCAGGAATACAATGACTAGTCTGGCTAATTGAAGCCTACTGAAGAAATGAAGCTTTAGAAATCCTTTCAGAAGCATGAGATAAAATACTCCCCAGAGAGGCAGGAAGGGTCATTGCCATTTATTGAACTCCGGTTTGACTAGCCATCTAGATGCTCGAACTCACCTAGTCCTCTCACCCAGCCTTGAGAGTTAAGTATTATGTCATTAAGTATTATAGTCCCTGATTTACAGATAAAGAACTTAAATGGCCTAATTAACATGTCCAAGGTTGTCCAGTTACTAATGTCAGTAACAGAATTCAAAATTAAATTGTTTGACACTGAGGCTGACTGGTAGGAACAGAAAACTGTGTCTGAAGCTTCACAGAGTGCCTCCTTGAATCTGAGTGATCTTCACTGGCCTTCTTAATGGTGGCATTTCTCTTTCTTCTCTCCAAGCCCTGTTAGAAGGCTCCATGAACGGGACCATTCTAAAACCAAAGCTTATAATGTTCTGTACCATCTGGCCAGCTCTGGCCTTGACATGAGGGCATTCCAATTCTGGCTCACTTTATTATGAGTCAGGTGCTATCGTAGAAAGACTAGGGGTTGATGTTCCACAAGGAGCAGGGTCTGCCTTGATCCTCTCTGCGATAGCTTTATGAGGAAACAAGACTGCATGAGACTTGTATTGATAATTACATGGCCCTCCATAATATTTACGTTAAAAGGAAACATAGTATATACTTAAGATTTATGTATGTATTTAATAAATGTTGGCTTTTTTCCCATTACTTTCTTTTCTCCACCCCATCAGCTCTGACTTTAGTCATAAAACATATTTACAATCAGGGACCAGCTGTTAGCATAATGACTATGTCGCTGGACTCCCATGTAGTCGACCACGGTTCAAGTCCCGGACCCGGTGGCTTAAACTCACACTGGGCACGTGTGCATGCGTGCCCAAGATCCCGAGAGGAAAACGGAGGAGAAGGGATTGTGGCGTGACCATCCCCCGTGGGGGGTGATTTCTCACTTTCAGTCTCTCTGTCTCTCTCAGTCTTCCTGTCGAGCACACGTGTCCTATAGCAAAATACTCTCAACGTACCCTATAGCGAAAAACCTCTCTCAAAAAAGAAACAAGGTATCTACAATCACAGTGAAATTTATTAATTCACATACACTTACAAATACTTTATTTTAAATATCTCATTAGAGAATAGTAATATTCCAGTTTCATAGTACTATCTATAGAGCCTTTGAATACATATTTTATTTAATGATCACAACACAACTTAATAAGGTAGGCAGAGAACATATTAGATTATTTCAAAGATGTTGGAACTGAGGCTCAGAGAAGTTGATGAGGGTGAACAATGGGGTAAAATAAAGGCTTTCGAGATGATGTAAAATTGGGTATGAATCTAGCATGTGACTTAATTTTGCTTCTTTCGGTAAGTGACTTAAGTGATCTCCAGTTAGCTATTGTGGCGCTTTATAATTTGAGGCTGAGGAGAATCATGCACTTTCCGTGTTGCTGGAGGCTGAGACTGAGCGTTCATCCTGTCTGACAGGAAGACACTCAGAGTGGATAAATGGATGCTGGCTGGGCGGCACTGTCTCAGGTCACGTGGTGAGTTGCACAGCGGCATCTGGAAACATTCCTTCTGAACCCTACCACACAAAGCAGTTATATCTCCCATCACAAGCAACGGCCCCGGTCTACTAAGATCTGAGTTCTCGAAAATTCTTCTGACTATGTCTATCTCTCCTAGCATCAGAGAGACAGAGAGAATATTCAGATGGGTCAAATCATTACAGAGAGGGAAGTACTTGAATAGAAATTACGTTTCAGATTTTTAACAAATTGAACCAAATTGTTCAGTAATTTTGTGAAGTTGCCAATAAGGTTGAGAGGCAACAGGTAAGATATTAGCAACTTAGTAAAAAAAAAAAAAAAAAATAGCCACAAAGAATACAATAGTGAAAAAAAAGCTATTATAGAACTTTTTATGGGTTTTGTTTATTTTTGTTCATTTCACAGACAGAATGCTTTGGAAATAATTGTGGTAATTTTGTTTAAATTTTACCATATCCTTCACATGGTATAACTGGTAGGTTGTCCTTGTAGTGCCTTGTGGTGGGTAGGAAGTACTGTTCCTCTTCTTTGTGGTAAGGGTACTTAGTCGTACTTTACAGGAGAGGATGCTGATGCTCAGATAGACCCTCTACATTGTCCATTTTATGAAGGTAAGCCAGAAATGAGATCCAAGTCTGAGTCCAAATCTCCTGCCTCACTCTGTTGAGGGTCATGATCTTCTCATATAACTTTCTTTCAAATGAATCAACAGCATTTTAGGACACTTAGACTTTCCCTAGCAATAGAAAAATCTGGGTAGGAGCTATTTTTATTTGTTTTATTTCACTGGTGATGCTTATTGAGACACTGCTTCCTAGACACTTGTGCAGGAAAAGTGGAGCTCTACCCTGTTTAAATGTTACTGTGGGTAACTGTTGGTCATGTGAACTCTAGTGAGGCAAAGGGTCTGGACGTAACATGAAAATTCAGTATCCACATATATCAGTCCATAACCTTTAATTGTGTTGAATTTAATGTGAGATAAAAATGAGGGTAGTTGGGCCAGCAGATGACTGAGTGTTTAAGGCACTAGATCCCACATGGCCAACTTAGCAGTTCAAGCCTCAAACCCACATGATTTGGAAAACACGCAGGGTGCATATGTGTGCGAGGGTCCAAAATTCCAAAAGGGATTGCAGCATGGCCATCCTTCCTGCTGGTGATTTCTCACTTTCCCTCTCTCTGTGTTTCTGTATCTGGAGAGTGCACACATTCTACGGGGAAAACAAAACAAAACAAAAAACAACACAACACAACAATTAGAGGTAGCTATCAGCCAAACCTCCGAAGGTTGCAGTTTTGTGGGGTGCCTAGACCCACATTTAGTCAATAGCATTGCAGATTCAGAAGGCTAATTTTATCCAAGGCAGGAAGAGCTGATGGGGCTCAGAGGTCATCCCCCTTTGGCATTTTATCCTAAAGGACCATCTTTTGTTACTTCATTCGCATGTACCCAGGTTGTAAGTTGAGATGATATATTTTCTACCAGGAGGCAAATTTGCACAGGAAAAAAATCATTCTTAGGAGATGGTGTGGTGAGCACCAAGTCAGAGTTGTGTCACGGCGAGAGCTAGACTCACTTAGCTATTGGCCGATGCCTTGTGGGCACCTGTGAGTCAGTCTGTCCCATGACTACTCACAGATACTCATAGCCCACTCACGCTTCTAGGATCTCCAGATCAGATCCATCTCTGTGGATCTGAATTTCTGCACGGAACAGTTCAACATTCTCCTCTCTTCAAACTCCTATTTCTACTCTCTTTGCATTACGGGACACCATTCAGTATTTACAAAATACAAGAGGACCTCAAAAGATTTGTGAAAAATAAAGTTAGAGTATGGGTTTCCTTTGGTGGAAAGAAAAATAAAATCAACACATAGATTTTTTTTTTTTTTAGTTAAAAAAATTTTTTTTTGGAGAGATTTTTCGCTATAGGGCACATGCACTCGCCACACAGACAGAGAGAGACATAGAGACAGAAAGTGAGAAATCACCCCCCAGGGGGGATGGTCACGCCGCAACCCCTTCTCCTCCATTCTCCTCTCGGGATCTTGGGCACGCATGTACACACGCCCGGCGTGAGTTTTAAGCCACCGGGTCTGGGATGTGAACCGCGATCGACTACGTGGGAGTCCAGCGATATAGCCATTACGCTAACTGCTGGTTTCCCGAGTTTTTTTTTTTTTTTTTTAGTAATACACATTTTCCATGATCTTTTTGAAGACCTCGCATGTATAGCCTGGGTTTGAAAACAAACTGGTACTTCCTACCAGTATAATTTTAAGCAAATTACATAACCTCTCAGAACCTCTATTTATATTTTATAAAATGAAATTAAAATATATGTCTGTGGATTAGTGGTAGGAATGAACATAGCATATAAAAATTACACATTGTAGGTCCTAACCATTACTAAGTGCCAAGTAAATAATAATGACTATCATTACTTATAGCATAAATATATCTTATATTCAGACAAACTTTTATTAGGTCCTTAGCTTTTGGTTCCTTTTTCTAGAATTTTAACCTAAAGAATTTCTCTTTTAAAATGATTTCAGAGAAA